TTTTTTTTTTTTTTTTTTTTTTTGTTTTTTATTACCTAGCGAAGACAATGCCCGAGAAAAGTTAAGACAAGAATACAAGAGAAGGAGTTGAAAACTTAGGCAAATGAGGCATGACAACTAGTGCTCTATTTTCTCCGCGAGATACAGCTCTATTTTTTGCCTTCACTAACATCCTACAAAACACCTTGCACAACAGTTTTTTGTTTGTCGATATGCTCATTGTCATTGAAGAATGATTGTCTCTTGTGTTTTACTGTCATGGTAAAAAGTCTCTCAAAAAAACAGTTATTTAGAATTATAAAAAAATAATGTTTTTATGCTTTATAGAATCTGTCCCATCTCGAAAGCAATCTCAATACAGCGCAAATATAGAAAATCTACAACAGAATCCCTCTTCAACATGGGAACGGTGTGCTATTGAATCGTTTCTGTCATCATTGTCACCTTTACCTCCTCCAATGCCAGCTTTTTCTTCAATTGTTGGACACAAGTATATTCATCATTGATTACAGCTGATTAAAATTTCAGTATCGTGTTATTAAGTTAAAATTAAGTCTGAAATACTGACCCTTGTAAAAACCTGATTTTTTTTTTTGTTTTTATGTTGAAGCATTTATTATTAATCACAATAATCATGTTTTATCAAATTGATATGTTTTTCGTGGTAGTAGTTAGCAGTGAAATGCTCACTGTTATCATTGTTGAAACAAAAAATTCGAAAAAAACTGTCATAGAATATGTTATTCACTTGAAAAAAATGATGATATTCATGCACTGGTAAGCAACATTAATTGCTCTAAAAGATTCAGCAGTTACAAATTAAATTTTCTTTCTTTATGATTTCAAACTTGCTTTATAAATGGATTTAACAGTTCAACACTTTCAGCCGTTCATCAGTAAGATCTGAGACAACTGTAGACGATGCAACGAGCACGGATACGTCATCGTTGTTGGACAAGATGACACTTGGTGGAAATGATGAAGATTGTGGCAGCTATCGTGGTGATTACGATACAGATAACGATGCAAATTCGTCTAGCATTTTACTGGATCAATATCTTCCAATTTTATCTGGTAACTGCTAAAGATGTTTTCAAAAAAAAAAAAAAGCTGAAAAAAATGAATAGTACTTATTAGCTATTCGTGTACAGCACCACTTTACAATCACTATTTATGTAAAAGTTGTTAAACTAGTACTTAAACTATCGCAATTGCTGTTTGTCACTTTCCAAGTTCCTATCACAGTTTAAAGCTTCTTTTATCAATTAATTTTGCTTTGACTGTTTTTCTTTTTTAGAGTAAAGTCAATTATAACTATTAATTTTATAAATTTTAATCGAAGAAAACAAATAAGCAGCAGATAATAGAAAGAAAGAAAATAGATAAAATATATCTGTTATGTTTCATGCTCTAATTTTTTTTCTTTTGTAACTTAGCCAATATCAAGGAAAAAAAAAAGAAATTTTTGACAAAAGTTTTTTACGTTTTTGTAATTAAATAAGAAGAAGCAAAACAAACAAAAAAGAAAGATTGAGCTTTATCATCAAACTTTTCTAAATGCAACAAGATAAATTGAATTTTTTTATTTTTGTTGGTTGATATATGTATGCAGAGAAAATGTAAAATTTTTTAACTGCCAAAAAACAACAAATCAGAAGAAAAAAGAGCTATTTTTTTTCTTT